ACAAAAATGGTAAGATTTTCAAACATTGGGCATCGAGAATGTAGCCCGACTACCTTTGACTGACCTTCGTATCACCAAGTGAGAATACTAAGAAATGAGCTTCATGCGTTGAACCCTAGTGAATTCGAAATTCATACTAACTGTCGACAGTACATATAAAAGCAAGACATGCTTAAAAACTGAATGTGATCAGGGCAAAGAGCTCACAATGAATTCATGGAGGGGACATAAATGGCCACGCGCAGTCGTTCATGGTTCTTACACTTCTGTCTGAAGGTAACCCCTGGTCCCGTGGTGCAGCACGTCATGCAGTCTCGGTGATAGATGTTTGGAGAGCCGATATGGAAAGCCTGTCTGTGTGAAAGGTAACTGCCTCCTGGATACTTTCTCGGATTGGTTACCATATGCTTGTTTTATTTTAGAGTAGGAGTCTTACCATGTTACAGACTCCATGTATAGAAGTTTGGCTAGTGTATATCATGGGTATATGATAGGACTGGGCCAAATATGATTTATTGTCTCAGGACTGTCTGACTGAGCTTGTTTTTTACGCCGCTTTTAGCAATATTCCAGCAACATCACAGCGGGGACACCAGAAATGGCTTCACACATTGTATCCATGTGGGGATTCGAACCCGGGTCTTCGGCGTGATGAGCCAACGCTTTAACCACTAGGCTACCCCACCGCCCCTGTTGTCTGGGAACACATGGTTCTGGTCTAGAATAGGATCTATAGAATAGGATTTCACAAGAAATAAATACTCTGATCCACGAATAGAAGTTTATACATTGTAAAGGGGTTTAAGATATCTCTTGACGTCCGATTTCTTCACCAATTTTATTCATTATGTTGGGGATTTATTTTAATTGTTTCGTCATTTCGGTATATATTCAAGGTATCTCAGTGGGCTAGCACTCTAAAACCAGCCTAAGTCTGGGCTAGTACAAGCAGCCGCACATACACATACACACGTATGCACGTCGTCATATGAGCGAAATATTCTCAAGCACGACGTTAAACACAATTTGACCTCACCTCACCCTCACATAAGAAAAAACGATGCTTTAAAGAAATATATGCCCTCCCTTATGTCCTTTCATTAAACTACAGATGGAAGGACAGCTTTATCCTTGGAGATCCCAACAACAGAGAAGAGATAAGAAGAGCGGTTCCGGAGACAACCCACTTCATGAAGCCTGTAGAGAGGGTGACTTTAAGTCAGGTGCGGACAATCATGTCTGAGGGTCAAGTCGACATTGACAGCAGAGAGGGAGAGAGCGGGATGACGCCAGTGATGTTGGCAGCACGAGGGGGACATAGAGGTGTGTTTGAGATTCTAGTCGGAAAAAGATGTAATATGTCCCTTCTTGATAATAAAGACAACAACATTCTTCATATGGCCTGCTATGGAGGACAAATTGCGATCGTGAAACGTGTTCTCTCGCTTGACATTGTGGACATCAACAGTAGGGGTCATATTGGGAGCACGTGTGTGATGGTTGCAGCAGCTAATGGACATAGAAAGGTGTTTGACTTAGTAATGTGTAAAGGAGGTGATGCTTCACTTGTGGACAAGAGTGGTGACAACATCCTACATTGGGTGTGTCGTGGAGGACACGTAGAGATGGTGAAGTATGTCATCTCACTGAACTTTGTCGATATCAACAGCAGAGGACATATCGGACAGACACCAATGATGGTTGCAGCATCTAATGGACATAGAAAGGTGTTTGACTTAGCAATGAATAAAGGAGGTGATGCTTCACTTGTGGACAAGAATGGTGACAACATCCTACATTGTGTGTGTCGTGGAGGAGACGTAGAGATGGTGAAATATGTCATCTCACTGAACTTTGTCGATATCAACAGCAGAGGACATGTGGGACGGACACCAATGATGGTTGCAGCATATAATGGACATAGAAAGGTGTTTGACTTGGTAATGAGTAAAGGAGGTGATGCTTCACTTGTGGACAAGAGTGGTGACAACATCCTACATTGGGTGTGTGTCGTGGAGGAGACGTAGAGATGGTGAAGTATGTCATCTCACTGAACTTTGTCGATATCAACAGCAGAGGACATGCGGGACGGACACCAATGATGGTTGCAGCATATAATGGACATAGAAAGGTGTTTGACTTAGTAATGAGTAAAGGAGGTGATGCTTCACTTGTGGACGTGAATGGTAACAACATCCTACATCTCGCCAGTTTGCAAGGACATGTGATGTTGGTGAAGCATATTCTTTCTAAAACTATTGTTGATGTTAATGCCAAAAATAAGTCTGGAGCTACAGCGGCAATGATTGTAAACAGAAAAAAAAAACAAGGCAAAAAGCATGACCTCCTAAAATTGTTAGGATATTAATGGGGCATTAACTTTGCCCTATGCCATTTAAACACGTTGCAAAGTGATATTCTATAACTGATAAAAATATCTTCCCTCAGATGATTTTTTTGTCTCCAAAATGAAAACATCCTCTTTGTAATAAATGGATTCCAGTAAATACCACCAGTGTTTAAAGAACTGTGCAAACAAAGACTCATACACTAGTCACTATCAGTCAGCACTCTCACTTTCTATGCCATCGGCATGATGAAAATGTAAGTACACTATCCCCACAGTTTGTCTCCAGTCTCCTAAACCATAAAGAACTAACAATGTCGGCTATCTCTCGCATCATTTTTGAAGCAGACATCCATGCACCACACTTGCCAAATACATCATGCTGCATCTGACAACATATCACAAACAGCAAACGATAGGGCGACGGAGGATCCTATTCTCATGGAGATGCACACCTCGTTTCAAACCCAAGAAACCATCATTCCCGCCAGACTCCCCCAGTCCCTTCAACACACCCACACAATCTTTGCCTTATTTTTCTTCTTCACCGTTATTACCGTAGTCTACTCGGCTAACAAAACCCCGAAAATTCCTTTATTCAAACATCTAACTGCAAAATAAAGGGCCTACCCCTGGAAGCGTTTAATGTCCTCAAATCCATAAGACATATATATATGAAGTCAACGTCTCATGCGATACACTGAACTGAAAAGGTACACACGAGGCGTAATTCGCGTAAGAACGCGCAAATCGCACCATTCCCACGAGCAGTTTTTCCAAGACGGCACCGCGGATCGCGACCTATATTCCTTAACCTCAAATCGTTAGTTAGTACCAAACGAATCACATCAAGACAAAACGGAAAGTCACATCCAACATAAACAGTAATCATAATGTATGAAAACCAAAACCAAAACACCCAATATCGTAGATACCGTGGCACTTCCAATTAACTAGTAGTAAAAACCATTAATTAAACCTGTAGCCAAATGTCTGGAAATATCACCGCATTAAAAGCAACATTGCATATTTGACTTGCAAAACAACTGTCCACACACAACAAATATGCATATAATATTGACACAGCTAATATCCAAACACACACCCCACACACCCCTCAAAAACAAACCACATCACATGTCCACACGACAAAATCGGTTTCCTGAGATTCCTTCCGATAACGCTCCCACATGGACTTCCCCAAGCCACAAAATTCGTCAACATCACCAACACGGGACCCTCAACACCAACACATGCAAATCAGCCCCAAACAAACAACCTAAACTTAGCGAAACCTTTTAACAGAATACCCAAACAGAGCCCCAGGAGCTTGAAACATTCTGGATTCCACTTCAACGTCATGCATTTTAAGAACTGTGTTCTGAAAATATACCAGGCGTCAAGAATAACGGGTCCAATGGATATATGGCACATGAGAGGAAATAATAGAACTAGGAGTGTCATCATAATGTTTAATGTGTTGACAAACGTGAGGCATTGTGACATACACAGGAAATTTCAAACAGCACTAGGAAACATCAGTTTTGACCGACTCGCATGGAACATCGTATTTTACAGTTCTCGCAAACACCTGGTGTTATCCGTACATTTATACATTTCCTTATTTTGACTTTTCACCAAATGGAATCTATTTTGTCTGGAAGTAAATACATGTTATGCGGCATAAACATACACGCAAAGCCATCATCGACCGCGAGCTATCCAACCTCAACATTGACATCGCTGTCCTCCAGGAGACACGCTCTCTTCCAGTGGCAGCTCTCCAGGAGAAGGGCTACACGATCTTCTGGCCAGGACTGGAGCCACAGGAGCGCTGACTTCACGCAACCTGCTCCTACCATCAGTAGAGCCTCATTCTCGAGGGACCACGGGCATCCTCTCACTCCGCCACACGACCTCCTCTGGGACTCAATAAACATCTTTCGCATCTACGCCCCCACACTCTGAGGCCAAAGATGCGTTTTTACAACGACCTTGAGGCCAGGGTCAGGAGAGATTCCACAAAAGAAGACCTGATCCTGCTCGGAGACTTCAATGCCCAGGTTGGCGCAGACTACACGCTGCATTGGTCACTTTGGCGTTGGCAGGCTCAACGAGAACGGGACAGCGGCTACTTGAGCTCTGCTCCTACCATAACCTGTGTATCACCAACACCTCCTTCCCACCAAGCCCCACCACAGAGTGTCTTGAGGCACCCCAGATCCAAACACTGGCACGAACTGGACTTTACAATCATCACCAGGAGATCCATGCTCAACCACGTGCTTGTCACTGCACTCTACCATAGTGCCAACTGCGACACTGATCACTCCCCTGGTCAGCAGCAAGGTGCGCCTCCGCCCCAGACCAATCCAACGCTCCAATCAAAGGCTGCCGCACTCGCATCGACCCTGCCAGAACACTGATGCCAGAACTGGATGAATGCTTTGCGCTCGCTTCATCAATGAGGCTACTGGAGGACTGCCCTACAGAGAGTGCTACGGTGCGATTGGGAGTTCATCCGCGACCTTTCATGTACAAGACTGCCTCCGACACCTTCGGGAAGAGAGCAAGGAAAAGCGAGGACTGTTCCGAGGCTGAGATCGAGGAGATGGAGCCTCGCCATAACCGCCAAGAGAGCTGCGCACCTCGAGTACTAAAGACAGCCCTCTGAGTCAACACTAGCTGCCTTTAGAGAAGCCCACAACAACGCCAAGGGGATCGCCCGCAAGTGCGCCAATGGCTACTGGCTGAAGCCACGCAGCGACATCCAGTTCCTCTGCGGACTGTGCAAACATCCATACCCTGTACGAGGGGCATGAAGAAAGCGACTGTAACAACTATCGCAGGATCTCCCTCCTCAGCATCATCATGGGGAAAGCTTTCGCCTGAGTCGTCCCTCAACCACCCCCAGCTGCTAAGGCGACCACGTGTACCCTGATCACACCGCGTGGATTTCGACAGAAACGGTCAACGATCGACATGGTGTTCTCCTTCAGGCAGCAACAGGAGAAATGCCATGAACAGATGGTGCCCCTTTGTTCCTCGCCTTCATCAATCTCGACCAAGGCATTTCGACCTAGTCAGTCGAACAGACCTCTTCACCCTCCTACACAAGATTGATGTCCCCACAAGCTCCTGAAGATGATCAGATCCTTCCATGACGACGACATGGGAGGCAACAGTCCAGTATGACGGACCATCCTCGGATCCCTTCCCAATCTGGAGTGGAGTGAAACAAGGGTGTGTCCTGGCCCCGACACTATTTGGCTTGTTCTTCTCCCTACTCTTGCGTTATACCTTCCGCGAGTCTCATTGAAGATGGCATCTTCCTGCACACGAGGAGTGACGGGAACCTTTTAAACCTCCTCCTCCCGCCTCAGAGCAAAGACAAAGGTTCGCAGGGTCCTCATATATGAGATGCTCCTTTGCAGAGGAGGCCCTCCAGCGACGTATTCATTCATGTGGCCCACCCACTCTGGTCATATACCAACGGATTCGTGGGCTCTTTTAAGTACACACAGAGTTGTACACTAGAGGTTGTGACACCACTGAATGATTCTGCACAATAAAGTTGACTACAAGGTTTTTACGCGCCCGGTAACAGGTGGGATCGATCCCGGCACCTCCAAGCTCCCTGGATCACAGCTCGCCAACCACGCTCCCACTTATTTGACAAAGAATGTCAACATTGAATAAATGCATGCTCATCGTCTTTGAATGGCACTTTAGAAGTAATACACATAAAGGGTGAACATCTCGTAGATGTCAGCTTCTGTAACATGGAGGGACACGACGTTTCTGGAGAGAATAATCCTAATCAATTCATCAGGTGAAGAAAACAAGGAATCAAATCCCTATATGAGTACATGTGCAACAACAACAGTTATTAGAGAAGACAATGGTGGGCACTCAGCAAGGGAGGTCAGTAGTTAATTGGCGCCTGAATGGTAATGGCAAAGAGCAAGTAGAAGCAAAGCAGTTTTATGTCGAACCAAACCGTGGATCATAACCAAAATGTAGATAAGTTTTAACTCTGTCATGTTTCTGTCTGAAAATGATTAGTTTGAATGCTGACAGGTCCTCACTTTCAAAACTATGCTATGGTTTGAGAAATATTTACTTTTACTGAAAAAGCAAAAACAACAAAACATGCAACAACAGTCCCCTATCCCTCTCCAAACAAAAACAATTATTTTCTCACACTCCCTTTGAATCTTTGATTAAATTTGAAATACAGCATAAGACATGCATTTGAAAACAAAGTGGTGATTGTGCTCCTATAGACACGGTATGATTACATTAGGCAATGGATAGAAATATGTCTAACAAAGGATATCTATTATTTTACAAGCATCGTTTCTTTTCTTTGTTGTAAAATCCATTATCAACAGACAAAACAGTGTTGCCTGCAGTGCTTGACAAACCCACCCAACACATATTTCATGGAATATAATATTTATCCTCATACATGTCTTTGGTTTCATTAAAACAGTTTGATAAACAATTTGAGAAAATGTTTTGTCAGATACATGCATTACGAGCAAAGTGAAGACAATTTTCACCCATTAAAGGTAAAATCAGTAATGTTATATGTTCTCCAAAAGAGCGTTAAATTCTGACACAGAAACAGAGACCTTTTATACAAATGATGGTGATTAAGTGATATATTCCAGTCAG